GCCTATATACATAATTGGAATGTTTCAGTAAAATAAAGCCAGAGAAAATACTACTCAGGGGCTTTATTTCCTTTTTTATGAAATAAATCAAGCGGACGTTATTTCCTTTTCTTTTGGAAATAAAGCCCGCGGCTATTATTGCTCTTTCGCAAAGGAAATAAAGCCCGCGGGCTTTATTGCCTTTCATTGGCGGGCGTTATTTCCCCTTCGAAATAGAAATATCGCTCATGGGCTTTACTTCTCTTTTTTTTGGAAAATTGAGCCCTGGGCTTTATTTCCTAAAACAAAGAAACAAAGCCCGCGGGCGGTATTGCCTTTTCGAAAAAGAAATTTAGCCCGCGGGCTTTATTGCCATTTGCCGGTGGGCATTATTTCGCTTTCGATATGGCAATAACGCCAGCGGGCTTCATTTCTTAAAAAATGAAATAAAGCCCGCGGGCATTATTTATCTTTATTATGGCTCTCTTGTCTCTTGGAAATTAACAAATTTCAAAGCATATATTAAATACATGTCGGGTTCTCCATAATTCTCGTTTATCGTTTACGCGTATATGCAGCGATTCGCTAGTGGCTACACTCCTTTCAACCAACGTTCACCTTTTGTTTCACAAAACCAACTCTATTCTCAAAACTCATTTTCCTTCGTTCTAATCAAAAGCCTACTTTTTATATTTGGCTTCGCGTAGCCTACCAAGTTTTATTCTTTAAGCAAGTGTTTTCTTAATCAAGTGTTTTTCTAAACAAGTGCTTTTCTAACCAAGTGTACCACCTTTGTTTCGCTCAAGCAATACATCATTGCTTGGCATATACATACATCATATCTCCGACACGGCCATTCGGACAAGTCACATGTCCTCGTGTGATTCACGTACTCGACCAATCCTGGCCCAACAAAGCAATTCATCCGATATTACCATTTTTATTATTTTTATTCTTTTTTTTTATTAATTCACCTACAGGTTTATTAAATTTTATGGTTACAAAAATGATATGAAACTAAGTTTATGCATTGAAAGTATGAATTCATTAAATCAATTTAACTCAAAACTGAATACATGTGTAAAAATAATATATTAAGCTAAAATTTAGTATAAAAATCATTCTTTACTCAGCATTAACAACATTAAAATCAACTTCACCGTCAGGCATTTTGCGTAACCGGTCATGAGCGTATTTATAAGTTCTTTTGGAGCTAGTATTGGAAATTACATATCTGTCACCATCTAAAATTTCAATAATTCTAAATGGTCCTTTATATTTAGGGTCTAGTTTTGTTTGATTTCGTTCCTCATTCTGAAGCATAACGAAGTCACCAAGAGCAAACTTGTCAATTTTAGCTTTACTTTGATCAAATTTAGTTTTGTTATATTTAGCACTCTTTTCAATATTGGCTTTGGCCGCTTGTCTCAATGCGTCAATATCAACGTTTTGCTCAGTCCCATCAAATAAATTAAGGTCAAGGGGTCTAGCAACTTTACCAATCATCAACTCAAGAGGACTAGATTTTGTGACACGATTAACGGTGCAATTCAGAGCTAACTGTACGTCAAGGAGTGCATCTTGCCATGAACTCTCCTTACTGGTTTCAACAGCCGTAAGCATATTCTTTAACGTACTCATTACGCGTTCAACTTGTCCATTGGACCTTGAACTACCTGTTGCTATTAAGTGAAGGTTAATTCCATGCATTTTACAAAATTCACGGAACTCCGAGCTAGCAAAACATCTTCCCTGATCCGCTATGATACGAACAGGAGCACCAAATAATGAAACAGAATAATTCACGGCACGAATACTACTGGCAGTATCGATGTGCGAAGTGTGGTATAAAGTCACAAACTTCGTGAATGCATCAACCAATACAAACACATACTCTTTCTTATCATTTTTCCCACTAAGCTTCCCTGTGGCATCTATATGTACTGTATGCCAAGGTATTGGAACTTTTGGTATAGGGTGAAGCTCAGCTTGTAACTTTCCAGAGTGTGATTTAGAAATCTTGCATGTAATGCAACTGTCAATAAATTTGTTTGTAAATTTTGTCATATTTTCAAACCAATATATTTCATATAATTTTTCAAGCGTTTCGACATTCGATACGATACTAGGGTTCTGGTACTCGTTTCCAAAAAATATCGTTTTAAAACTATCGAGTAGAAAATATCGGTATCGAATGCCAAAATTATCGATATGATATCGTATCGTATCGAAATTCGTGTCCCTACGGACCGCCTTCCAATGCCGCAGTGGGGTGTAACCTTAGAG